AAGAGTGTAGAAGTAAAAGGGAAAGAAAGAAACCCCGCATACTCCAAACATTCATCTTCTATGTCAATTCATCCTCTCCTATGGAAAATGCAAACAGAGAAACTCCAACAAAAGTAGTTCAGTGTAGGCAAGGCAGTCATCCTTAGATTGTAAGGCATCCAAGAAACCAAATATCCCCCGGTTTTTAACTGTCACTTGAACCTTAGTTGTATTCCGATCCTAACCAAGTGCTCTGTGTCAGTTCAGATAAAATTATGTGTGTTTTGCTTACTGGTACTGCGTTAACATCAAAGGGAAAAATACTCGTAACAATCACGGACCTGGGCAACTAAGCTGAAATACCAATTATAAAACTCAAGGTTAAAGGACTTGCTTTTCTTTTTTTTAATAGGTATAATACTTATGACAGTCACTGTGACTAATGATACTTTACAGCTACATTTGTTGTGTAGGCTACAGAACCCAAATGCTGCAATCTGCAACTAAAATCAGCATGACTCAGGCATACTGCAAAGGGCAAGACTGTCTCCTTGCCTGAAAAACTTTTGCTTAGCAGGAAGAAAAAAAGAGCATGCATTTTGCCTTCTCACTTTACTTCAGCTTTAAAAAAACCCAAGCAAACCCAAAGTCTTAAACCCACCCAAGCTGACTAACCAGCGTAATGGCATAACTACAGGAGAGGCTTGAATCCCGCTGACTGACTGATGACCGACACACTGCACAGAGCAAACCTAACTTGGCTTTCTCTGGCTCAAACTCCAAGCAGAGCAGAGGGCCAAGAGGAGGCCACTGCACTGACCATCCCGAGTGCCAAGGGGATCATGTGGCCAAACAAGGCAGAGGGAAAGGGGGTAAAGAGTCCATTTTTGTTACAATGCATAGGTGAGTTTAGAAAGTGTTATTTTTTTGGCTTCCTTGGTTCCTGGGATTCTCAGGGATCCCCTGAGAGCAGTCTGGGTTAACTAAACAGTGTAGAAGCCACTATTATGTCAAATGTGTGCCATTCCTACTAGAAAACGTATCGCGCCGAGAGGAAGAGAAGGACCAGCCTTCCAACACAAACACACAAGCAGACTAAGATGGTGTTACTGGATCTGTGTAATCACTAGTCATTCCACCTTCAGTGCAGATGATATGATATGATGTGATATATGGTATGAAGAGAGAAAACACATGCTGGAAATAGAGTAACAACAAAAAAACCAACCCACATCGCACACAAAATACCACCTTACAGTTGAGGGAGAAATTCTTGGTGTAACTGAAATAGTCCCATTTTCTTAGGAGACGTTTTGTTAGTATACAGGTGAATAAATTTTAAAAAAGGTGTACCCAGCCAGCCAGCATCTTGTAGATGTCAGCACATAAAAATGTACTCTGAAGCCAGCGTCTAACCTGCTCTTATGAACTGTGACGGTCTGCTGGCTGGGAGGGTTTGCACTGCTTAATAAACCCATCCCTGTGCTTCACAGGCAGACTTGCAGCGAGTCAGTGAGGTACGGTCAATTTGAAAGTATTAAGGTTAAGAAGTGAAATGGTGAACACCTAATAGATAGCCGGTATAAAAACCATCAGTAGTCAAAGTAACATTAGCTTTGGGATATGATACTTCTGCAATTTTTGCTAAATTCATAGTATTGCATAAAATTTATAAGAAAGCTTATTTTACAATTCAGTTTTATCATCAGGAAAGCTTTAGAGATGTTCTTACCATGCTTCAGATGTAGGCAGCTGTCATTCTGGGGCCTGTACCTGTAGAAGATTGTTTTCCTTTAACAAATTTCTGTTACAAAGTTTTTGCACATTCCAAATAAGTTTGTTTGCTACAGTATTACATGGAATTTTTTGTGTGTGTTTTTTGGTTTTGTTGTTTGGTTTTTTTATGGTTCTTATACCAGCCATTTTTGTTGGGGAAAACAGGGTGTTTCTTTGTATATACTTCAGAGGCAAAGAGGAGACCTCACTGATGCTTTTAGCCAACCTACGAGGCAGCTGTTAGTGTACACAGAAATGTAAAATACAGCGATAAAAAATACAGTGGCTACAAAAAGGTCAGTGTAAAGTTTCCAGTGTCCAATAATCCCACAGAGTACTTGAGACATAGTTAAGTCTAAGGATGATACAACACCGACTGAGGAGAAAAGCAAAGGTAAAGCAGGAGAGCGAGTGCAGCAACGCGTAAGTTCAGCCAAAGATGTTGATGCCGTCAGGACTGCCGCATGGAAAGGCGTAAGGGAAAGGAGGCACGTATTGGGTGCGTTTTCACATGGTTGCATTCAAAGTATCTTAAAACATCCGTTAGAGGCAAGTGTTAGAGAAAAGGATGTAAAAATTAAATTGTGCAAGCCCTGGTTTCTAAAATATACCTGAGGTGAATGGTAAGAAAGAGTTGGTTGTGGCCTACCTGATGCTGATTCCTGCAACTTTTCTCTCTTCCTCTTCTTTTTCTTCCCCTGAAAAACAGGAAATTTTACCATACCATTACACTCACAGAACAGTTTTTTGTCGCTCCTCCACCCCACAGTGTAGAAATGAAAGCCGTCTGGACACCGAGAAAGGAAAAACCCCCCAATTGTTTTCAGGGTAGCTGAAACCTTTTCTAACCCCCTTCCAACTGTTTCAATGGTAACAAAGTTTGTTCTCAGCATCGATGGAGAAATACATGCATGAGCAATACACATTTTTATATCCACATGGAATTACAATTTCTGGCGTTTTTTCAAGTAATGCTAGCAGCCGCAAGCATCTGAAAGACTTCTGATGCTTAATAATCTGATGACATGTATGTTGACATAATAATTTATGGCTCCTATAAGAACTCTTCACTTATTCAGATACTTACACTGTCATACATGGCAACAGCAGACAGGGCGTTGCAAGTACCTAGGACGACCATGACTTGTCCCCAGGGTGCAGACCAGCCAACTAAAGCTGTGCTGATAACGCTCGTACCGTAACAAAAGCCAAGACTCGTACGGCTGTGCTCTGTGCAATAAGCAAATAGCAGGCTGCCGTACAGTGGAGCACCCTTAAACGTGACCGAGGTGCAGGACAGAAATGGATGCCTGGCAGCTGTCTTTCTTGGACACCACACTGGCACCAGCGTGCCGGCGCAGGCTCGTCGTGCCAACCCACACAGTCAGCCTTCTCCTGCACCCCCATCTATGGAAAAGGCCGGAGCTCCCAGTTCGCACAGTCTTTCAGGAAACAAGAGGTCAGTTTAGAGCCACAATTTTAAACCTCAGTCATCTTGCATTGCCCTAATTACCACTGTGATAGTCCTCCATATGACTTCTCTTTATTGTCCGGTATTGTCAGTCAAAACTTGTTTGTTTGTTTGTTTGTTTGTTTTTTAAAAAAAAAAAAAAGTCGTATCCATTTATATCTTAAAGAAGCCTTCAGGCTGCCAGGACAGGCTCTAACAGATGAGCTCCGGCAAACCTTGGTGCAGTTGCTGTAAGAGCAGGCCTGCAGCCCGCTGCCCACCCTCCTGCCCCCCAGCCAGCGGTCACCCCGCTCAGCACGGCCGCAGCCGCCACCACGTGTCCCAGTGTAGACCATGCCATCGCACGGTGGCCGCAGACTGGAAGGGCTGAGGTGGAGGGACACATGTTTCCATTAGCTGGCTCTGTGAGGCGGTGGGATGGACAGCAGGCCATGCGAGAAATCACCTCAAACCACTGCAGTGCTCCCTGACGGACAGCAAGTGAGGGGCCCAAACACTGGCTACGCTGAAGCGATGGCAGATGAATTTAAGTAGTCTCCAGTCTGCTCTGACAGCGTAGGCCTGCCTGACTCTTAAGCTCCCATCCTTAATTTATCCTGAGGCTGGCAACTGGGTTGAGCAATGCCTCGTGAGTGAGCTCCCAAAGATGGGACCAAGACTGGAAGTTGGAAAGCAGATTTCAAGGGCTCTGGGGAATTCACAGTGACGTGCTTTATCACTTGGGCACCAAGGCAACGCTTCTGCATTAGTGCGGATGTTAACATGGAAAAACCATGCAAGGAAAATGATGTTTTATTCTCTAAGGCAGGCTGACTCCAGTGCTAAAACATACTGAAAGCTGATCTGAGATCCATCTACGAGATAACAGAAGTGAAGGAACAGAAGGAAAAGACTGGGCTGAAAACTGGTTGTCAGCATTCCCAAATGAGGTAGTTTCTGACAACTTCAGCACAGGCAGACACTACCACATTATGAAAACACTGTGCTCCTTGTGACTATCACACAACTTTGCAGCACTGCTTGGGGTGTCAGTAGTAAAAACGTAATAAAACTCACACAGATATTGCCAACAGTTGAATAGCAATGCTTAACATTTTCTTGAAATTTCTAAAATCCTGAAAAACCAGGCAAAGCAAAATAGAAGTAAAGCCAAGTAGTACATATTCTTTAATTGTACTTTTTTGTGAAATTCAGCCATGTGAAACAGAAGAGTCACCCCTAAGTCACTTCCAAGTCTCAAAATAGTGCAGCAATATCTGTGCTAAATGAATATGATTTCTTTTTTTTTTTCTGACTGCTCAACGTAGAAAAAATGAAGATAAAAAAGAAAAAAAAAAAAAGATGACATACACCTGAGAAGGTTTCAGTGATAAACTGATATCTACTATGATCACCTTCTCACCACCACTGCAACCAGCATGCGCATTCCTGGAGAGGCAGGGAGAAGGACTGCAAGGGGACGCTAGCAGAGCTCTCCACTGAAACATATAGGACTGGAGTATGTCAGAGCTATACCTCCCCGCAGGATGTAGGTTGGAAGCACATCAGAGAGAGAATTCATACGTGCCATCTTACACACTCCGAATGTCTATCAAGGCATTTAAGAAACTGCAGGTCCACTGCTTGTGCTATATGGCAGTAGGCTGTGGCAAAACACATCAGGTTCTCAAAGTCGACGTGAGCTGAGCATCACAGGACAATCTCAAAGGCTGACGTCCAGTAAGTCTGAGCTAACCAGGCTCCAAAGTGGTTTGATTTTCCAGCAAGTAAGTTCAAGACAATTGAAATGCCCTTGTTTGCAGGGAGTGTATTGCTAAGGCCCTGTTTGTTCCCAGGTATGTTTCAAGACAGCTCTGTGGACAGGGTCCATTTCCTGGAAATAAACCCTACCTGTATAAGGTCATGACAGCTCACCTGCTGGGGAAGATGACTGTATAAAACAGGCAGAAACAAGCTGCTGTGCTTACAAAACTGGGCATGGGTGTCAGCAAGACCAAGGCATTTGCTTCGGAGAAGATGATGTACTTTCTGCGTCAATGCCTTCTGCGCCAAAGATCTCCTTAAGAGATTCTAGCTTACGATGCAAATGTTGTTTAAGCTGAACAGTAGCTGTGCTGGATTGGAAATGTTGGGTACTTCTACAGTTTCTGTTAGCACAGTATTTAGGTGCCTCATACTCTCTAATGTCCATAAGACATCACTGAAGTAGAGAAATACTGCTGTCCACCTAATACAGATGGAAAACTGAGCCAGACATAGCATGTACACTTCCCGTCACAGTAAATAATGTCACGGCTGAAGGGGGGACGGAAAGGAGCCTAGATCTCAGGCTGGGATCAGTCTCTCAGGATGGCAGCTTGCAAGTTCATAACATAATATGTGACTACGCTGACAGCTCATTGTAAGCACAATAGCGTAATTGCGCAGTGCAAGCTGTGCAACATGCTATTAACACTTGTTTGATATTTAATTATAAAATAAGAGTAATTGTAAGACAACTTCTTAGCTTCACCAAACTGTATAAAAGCAGAATCTTATCGTGAAGTTTACTTATACAAATATTTCAGGCTTTATTTCAGAGATGGACCATTCCGAATTACTTTCAGCTCAAGTCCAGATCCCTGGGCTTTCAGTGCTCTTGTAAGAGACACCCCTTTTTCGCTCAGGTCTAAAGAAGATTTCTGGATAGCAAGTGATCAAATAGAAAATTATGGAAAATGCACAGCTGCGGAGTAGGACATAAGCTTTCAGATAGTACTGACAATTGTCTTAGAAAAAAACCCACCTTTCCATGCTAATTTCTTCCCCTCAAAAACTGTGACCTTCATAAGAAGCATCTCAACAACAACAACAAAATCTCAAGTTTTCTGAATGCTTGAAGTGCAAACAAATATAAGGCTTATGTTATATGTTTGTTCACCATCCCTCCATCCAGAACTTTCCTCAAGTTAAAGAGAAAAAGAAGAAAGGAAAAAAAAAAGTTAGGCAAAGGAAGTTAATTTGAGAAGAGCCTTCAAGTGAACGACTTACATAGTTGTCTCTTGCAGACCAGCCTGGATAAAGCTGCATGTGTAGCTGCCTTTCTTTACGAGCTAGTTCATAATATTTCGCTTGTTCTTCACGGGAGAGAGCATGCCACTGCAAACAAAATAAACATAGCATTAGGCTAGGAAATGACTCATACCTAGGCAAAGGATGACATGAGCACGTGTCTTTGTGACGTTGATTCAGTCCTTCCCCACTGCAAAAATGAAATTCATTAGCAATTACAAGCACCGCTGTTTATTAACCAACTTTCAGGCATTTGTCAGCTCTGCAACTGCCAAATGCCTTGAGCCAGACAAAAGTCATTTATGGAAACAGGGCTCACCAAATAATCTGCTCACAGAACCATGCTCTCCCAACACTATGTTAAAAAAATAAAAAAACCCCAAACAACCAAAAAGTACCCTTTAGCTCCCAACAAAACAGAAAGGTTTTGTGCTGCTTTTAAAGGGCAGCGAGCTCCCCACCACAGAAGGGTTTGCTGTCTCATTTTTAAACAGCAGCTACACTGGGTTTTCAATGCCACAACAGAGGGCTTTCCGGGCACCAGCAGACTCCTGTTCCAAGACTGGCCTCTAAGTATTGAGCTTCAAGGCACCTGCTTTCTCATTTCTTCTTTTTGTCATAGAAGAAAAGAAAAAGGCAACTGCAAAAAGTTTCTAAGACACAGAAACCACAGAACTGCAGTCTTCCAAATTACATGAGTTGACCTCTATAGCCAAGTTGGGATAAACTACCTGCTTTTATGTACTTCTAAAAAAACCCCAAAACCAAACAAAAAACCCCTCACAACCTGCACATTTAAAAAGGCACCAGCTACATCAGTATCTAATAATTTTGTTCTTGCTGAAACACCTATCATAGACATGAACCAAAAAGAGTAAAGGCCTTTTATTTAGAATCAGGTTCCACTGCTGCAGCATTAGATGTGTCTTCTTGTCTGACTTTGACAACATGCATGGGGGAGCAGGGGGAGAAGATGACATTAATAAAAAAAAAAAAAAGGAGGCAGATGTGAAATCATTAAGACACTCATGCAAGAATAATTTACAGAACTAGGATTTCGGATCAGATCACATTTGTATGATTTAATATGTCATTTTGTTACATGTCAGAAGATGTGAACTAAAGTGCTTGCCTGTCTTGACTTGGCAAGTTTGATGTGTTACTGAGAGCACAGCAGTTCAGCCTATTTGCAACTCTCAGACTCCACACGTGCGTTCCAAAACTGGAAGGTAGTGAACCTTACGCCGTGGCATCAGAGAGCCCAGCAGCATGCAAAGCATCAGCTCCTGAGAACAGAGGTGGTTCCTGGTCCAGAGTGACACAGAGTATAGTAAATAGCGACCAGGATGACTGAACACAAAACATTTGATAATAATTAATCTCCAAGCAATTATACTGGATAACTCATGAGTTGTTTGTACCACCGTAAAAATGGAATTTGAGGTACTTTCACAGAGAACAGTAACTTGGAAGGAGGAGTCTAAGCTGTGGCAAAAGCAGGCAATGGAGCACTGAGGCTCGATTCGCTACCAAAATGGAGGTAAACAAGCTACCACCCTCATTCGGGCCAAGAAAACAAGGCTGGCATACTAAGCAACTAAGATGGATTACTGAGGGAGTGAGGATGAAAACATGATCCTAGAGACTTGCATGAAAGAATGGAAAAGGCAAGCACCAGGATGTCCTTTAAGAGGAGGTAACAAGAACATCAGAGAGAAGGCAGAAGGCCTGCAGGAACCGGGACGAGTACCAGTACATTTCTGCTCTGTTTGGGATGGGGGGCGGGGAGGGGAAGTCTTCAGATTGTAACAGGGAAGTAGCAGTTAAGGTCATGCACTGACTTCCCACTTAAAAAGCACAGGGTTTTCAGAGATTTGCAGTACCTCTCAATACTGCCTTAGTCACTGGTAAAGAAGAGGGTTTCACTGAGCAAGGGGATTTGAATAACCCCTACTCAGATTGATACAAAAGTCATCCCTTTTCTCATTTCTGGGACAGTCAAGGGCAAGACGGGCATTTCTCTCTGCTGCTTTCCCTTGGAAGAACAACACTGCCAGTGAACACGAAGTTTGTAATTGTGGGTTGGCTTGCGTATTTTTTTTTCGGAGCATGGAAAGAACAAAACATGCCTACAATGCCACAGAAGCAAGTGGCTCTCAGCAAGGCTCTGGGACATATACCGGGATCATCGGTTCTTGGCTGCTGACATTGGAGACATTCAAAACTTGACTGGACAAGACCCTGAGCAATCTGATGTAACCGGGCCTGCTTTGAGCAGGTGTTGGACCTCCACAGGTCCCTCCCAACCTACGTGACTTTACAATTGGACCATGTTATATCGACTTCCGAGTTCCATGTCCACTGGTGTCCAGTGTTCCATCTTTGAGTGATCCCCTCCTGCTCTCATGGATGCCAGCCTAAGGGAGGACCCAGAAGGCGATCTGAATGCTCCTGCCACGTGTGAATAAGGATATCTCATGCCTGAAGCACTGACACCACAACATGAGTGGAACAGACACCAATTTGGTGATGTTGCTAATGCTGAAAAAAAGAAAATCAAGATACTGCTTTTATTTTTAGTTGCATGTTTTATCTTCTATAGCTAATTTGATAGTTGCACATTAGTTAGCACCTCAAGCAGAAAGTGAGCCATCACGCCCAACTAAAGGGAAACACACACAAATTAGCAGCACACGTGAGTACACATGCACCCTCCTGTACGTACCCTTCTGCCAAGAATCTGGTTGATAGCTGCGCTTTCTTTCAGAGTACACTCTGCTACAACGTTCGCTCTCATTTCTTTCATGTACAACATGAAAGCATTCAGAGGTTTCTTAATATGAGGTCTTTTTGGCTCTTGTTCTTTTCTCTGTTCGTGCTGAGGCTTCCTAAAACGTGGTGGGGGAAAGGGAAAGGAGGGGAAAAAAAGCATTCATTTACCTTCAGCCTAAAAAAAACGCAATGGAAAATTACCACCCTGTGGTTACAGTAGCATTTAAGCAGTAAGAATGAGAAATTCAGTGGTTCTGTCCCATCCACTTTCATATCTTTCCAGAGAATTGGCTTAATTTAATACTCAGGGAAGATGTCAGGTTGACATTCTCTAGCAAATAACATTTGACCTGTGAATCCGCTCCAAATTCATGTCACTTCTCGTCTCACTTCTCTTTTTGAATGGCTATCCATAGTACCCTAGAAGACCACTGATACAGGCAGGAGGACAGCTCCTCATCCACTTCTTTCTCAGGCCTTTTGCCTCCAAGTACTAGGCAAAAGGGCTGCTTTTTACTAGCAGATTTCACAGTTAAGACCTTTTTCCGGCAGAAGTTCGTGAGTTCACACTCAAGCACCATCCACAGGTTGTCAGGTCCATGATTATGTCTGAATCAAGATGACTGTTGCTGATCGCTATGAAGTGCTGAACTGGAATAAGAAATGGCTCCATGTCTGATCACTCTTCCCAAACAGCAGCCCACATTTCCCGTTTTAGTTACAGGAGAAGAGTTAAAATTCAAAGAGGACACAAAAGGCACTTTTTTTTTTTTTTTTAACTTCCTTAACTCTTCTTCAGACAGAGTTAGTTCTCAAACATTTATAGATTAAGGGCTAGTGCAGAAAGGCAGACTCACACATGCATTAGCTCACTGTCGTTGTGCGGATGTTCTTGTTTTACTTGAGGTGTTACAATAGCTGGGTGAGGGATTCCAGTTGTGTGAGGGCCTGGAGGACCAGGAATCATGTGATGTGAAAACCTAAAAGAGAAAACAAAGGAAAGGTCTGTACCCTACTGAAGGTGGGCACCAAACACGTATGACAGCACCAGGATGCCCCAAGAATGCAAACGCTACGGAGCTTGCAATGGAAGACAATTCTTTAAGAGCACATGAAAAACATTTGGCCAAGATTTGTGCATTGTAGCCCCCTTTTTCAAGAAAAACAAACAAACAAAAATCAATCAATATTTTGGTTATAAAGAAGTTATTTTACTACCTTTCAGGCCAACAGTTTTAGCAATGCACACAAGAAACATTTAATGGTTGTACTGTTGCACTGACTAGCAATAAAAATACACATTTCTTAACCAAAAACTGTATTTCCACACCAAGATATAAACATTCTTAAAATATCCACCACCAGCCAATGCAAAGGAGGGAACTGCCATGCAGAAACAAAAAACAAAAGAAGAGGAGCCTTTTCGAGAAGTCCCTCTCTAAGGAATATCTTGCTTTTCAAGGTACTTAAGTTAAAAGATTTTAACATCACTTCACCTAAACTCACCAGCCTTCCCTGAAATGCTTAAAATAATAATAAAAAAACCACCTAGAAAAAAATCCTGCATCCTGGAAGAAGGAGGGGAGGGGGAGGAGAGAGAGAGAGACTTTTGTCCTGAATAAACCTTCCTTTCATTTGTACAAGGAAAATGAAAAGAAAACCAAAGTACCACTAATTCAATCATCCCACCCTACTAACCCAGGTGATCCTAAAGGATAGCTGAGACAGATCTTTGAAAGTGCTGAGCACCGCAAGCTCAGGCGCAGCAGAAAACCCGCATGCTTTATTTTGAGCTGTGGGAAAGTACCATTAACATCAAAAGCAAGCTCATGCTCCAAAGGTTTGCTGAATGAGTGCTGGTTAAGGAATCACATCCAGCCTCTCCTTTTGCTGTTCCCTAGTGACCTTGCCCTTTTCCTTCATGCCATCAAAATAAAGCAAACACAAAGCCCTGTAACCAAATCAGATCCTTTTGTGATGGAGAAAGAACAGGTTTTCTTCCCAATCACCCTGACAGGCACATGCTTATCATTCCCCTGTGAAGAAGTGAAGGGACAGTGATAATCCAAAGGAGCCCACACAAATAGAGGCAAGAGGACCCACCATTTGTCGAGCGGTCTGTCTTAAGCCCCTGTGCAAGAAGATGTGTCTTACTACAGGCCACACAAAAAAACCCCAAGAACGGTATATTGCAACCTTGTGTATACCAAGCACAGGATGCAGAAGCTGCCCTTAGAGTGCAAAAGCAGAGGAGAGGAGGTCTGGAGTGTGTCATGGCCAAGTCTCAGTTAGCATTGCTTGCTTGCACTTAGACATAAAGACACAGTGCCTGATTCACACACCAGTACAAATACACTGTGCTGGCATCCCGTGCCATTAGTGGCTTTGGGCTATGAAATACCTACTTGCGAGCGAGTTTCCACACAGAGTGATACCTAAATGATTCAAGACTAATTACCAATGACTTTGAAATTAGAACTAGAGAAGGCAGACTAGAGTCGCAATCCACCTGGTTGCATACTTGCATGAGCAAACCCAAGGATGCACTCTGTGCGTTGCATCTAGAAATGAACTAACGGCTCATTTCAGATGAAACAGCTCGATTAAATTGTTGACAATTCACCGGTGCTCCTAATCGCAATACTTCAGAGACTGCCAAGAAAATGCTGAATGAGACCAGTGTGGGATCCAGGCAAACTGTATATACACAAATATGTTAAATAAAAATATACGCGTAAAGTTTTAGCTGACTGAAAAGCAAGCAAAGGCAGACCAAGATGCAAGCAGAAGAGCAACTTGCCCTCTAATGCCAGCAGTTACTCCCCAGTCATTCACCTCCTACACCTACCTGGACATGGAAGGGTCGACTGAGAGTGAGGATGGATAGGGCTGCCTGAATCCACTCGAGATGGGATATACAGGCTGACCTTGCCTGAGGTCACAGAAGAAAGGAACCCATCAATCATACGATAAGGTATTCAGAAGTTACTCTAGAGTTACAAGCACTTGATGGGAGCTCAGTACTAGTCACAAAAAACAGTAACAGGTAATACTTTCAAGAGTTCTGCTGTATTCAAAGCCAATGAATACTCGAACGCTACTTTGGACTTTCTCCCTTGCTACTGAAAGATTCCCAGTCTGGGTTTCCACTGGGGAAGAAAGCCTTCCTGCCCCAAAGCGCACGTGCACACGCACACACACGCGCGTGCACGCACACTCTCCATCTCTACCCCCCTCTCACCTAGTTTTAAAAGCATGGAAGCCAGATTTGGTTAACTAGCTCTTAGGGAAGAGGTGTTTTATTCCAAATAGTTCTACTGTGGATCAGTGCAAGAACACCAGACTGTGAACTGTCAAGCTAGAAAACCCTTTTGAACAGTTTTATTAAGTCTTTGAAAACTTAGGACCCTCTCCATTTGCATCTTCTATAGTGCGGTAGAAGTGGTCAGCTTTTCTAAGAAAGTAGTTTATTTGATAAAAAAACCCACCCCCACCACCTAAAAGCCCACAGCAACACAAGTCCATCTTAACTACTTAAAGTTCAAACTTCGCAATCCAGTAGAAGAAGGTCATGTGAAATTCTTACCTCCTTTGTACTCCCACATATACGGAGTATTTTGTCACCACCCAGTCATTTGGAGTCTCTCGTTTTTACCACCATCACTACATTTTGGTCACTTTCAGTTAGCAACGGTTCAGGTCGTGACTACAATTCACACCCTGAAGTAGCATGCTATGGTAATGCAAACACCAGCTCAGCCCAAATACCTGAACCAGCCCAGACAGACCATCACTCACATCAATCCTATTCAAACAGTGACTTACTGACTGGCAGATCAGCTTTCACAGGGGGGAAAAAAAAAAGTTATAGGCCTTTGTAACGTTCATGATACAGGCTTCACACTTGGAGTACGTTACTGGAAACGAGCAGTGCTCAAAGGGAAAGGTGGGAAAAAGAATAAGTGGTGGAGGAATTCTCAGCAGCACGACCGCATGGAAGGCAGCTGGAAGCCGTACAGCGTAAGGGACGGCTGGGTACGTCCTGCTGGCGGCGAGCGCTGCTGAGCACATCCCCGAGCCTTAGAAGATCGGACCTTGTCTCTCCTTTCTCTTTTCCCTCTTCCCACCCCCCAGCCTCTGTGTCGAGAAACCACTCAAAAGAAATGATTGACCACATCTGGAAAATGAATGCCAGGAACTGCCTGGTCGTGGTGCAGGTGGGGAGTCAGCGGAGCGGCAATGAATGGGGAGGAGGGAGGGAAAAAATAAGAAAAAAACCAGAGTCAGATACTTCCATATTTTAGTTTGGTATCTGCTAATAATTTGTTCCAAGAAGGCATGTGGCAATTCCTGAAAGATTTGCCAGCAACACAGCGTTTCACCATCTTCTGCTCTCTACTTTCTGTGCCTATTGTCATCTGGATCATGTTTCCCTCCCATAAACACACTAAAAAAAATCTGCATTGCTTGTTGCATGGGCACAGATTAGTCAAGATACAGCTTCCAAAGCACTGAAATTGTTGCTGAGTTTCCTTATTCCTTGCTCCGACAGATCTGAGGGCAAGTACCTATCTACCCCAAGTGGACATGAAGCATCCTGCCAAATCAATTACTCTGAAAACACCCCGTGTTTCCTTCGAAAGGCAAATGACACCCTGAACGGCAGAGAAAGATCCTGAGAGGGCTGGTATTGGCAAGAGCAGCACCATCTCCCAATGACAGAGGCTTCTCTCCATACAGAAACTGTAAAAAGCAGCAGACTACAAAAGTTTGTTCGCCATTTTGGTGCAGTTTCAAGATTTCCCCCCACACACACACACTTCAAAGTTCCTTCTTACCTCCCCTCCCCTCAGTAATTGCAATTCTGTTTATTAAAAATTTACATTTAATTCCTTGAGAACTGTTTTCTGCTATCTTTCCAAATGCCAAGAGCCACAAATCTGAGCCATAAGAAATACAGAGACTTCAAAGTGAAATCTACACACTTCAATTTCTGTACGTGTTCAAAAACCAGATTCAATTCATTTCAAAGATCGACATTTTTTGATCTTTTCAACTAAAATAACATAGTAATTTCTTACTGCAGCGACATTCTTATTTTGTAAAAGCTGCGCTTGACTCAACAACAGCGAATGGTGTGAACATGCACCTTTGTCTGAAAAGAAGCTAAAAGATCTTACCAGCCAAGAGGTGGTGTTATCTGTCCAACCCCCCCTGGAGACAAGGGATAGAAGGTAGGGAGATCAGGAGCTGGAGGATGCCTGGACATGCCTGTTAAAGAGCACAGAAGAATGAATGACTTTCCCCTCAAAATACTACACGTGAGCTACAGTACACAGCTAACACAGCCAATGCTATGATGGAATTGGTGCTCTAGGTGAGAAATAACCATGTTCTTGGTTAGTGTTAAAAGCAAAAGGCTACCCATGCCACCTTCACAGTAATAAATAACTTGCACATGGTATTGCAATTCAAAGGGAAATACTGGAAAAAACAAAGTGGAAGGAGGGAATAAACGTATGGGTGAGGGCCTGCACCAGTTTAGATCTCCTGTAAAGCGCGTTAGGCAACGCTGTCCTCTCAATGGTTTCCCCAAACCCGACTGGATCCTGAGGACCTCTTCTAACACAGCATGAAACAAGAGGAAAATAAAGCGTTGTCTAAGAGGCAGCGCAGCAGAGCTATTAGATTAGGTAAATTGCTACTTGAACGTTTTCACAGGTTCCCTTATGGATTCACAGATTTTGGAAACTTGCTACCACAGAGGATCAGTGGTTAATTAAGAATCATTTTCAGGCCTGTAATGGTCACACTTGATATGATTCATTTGGCTTCCAATTGTCACTCCAGCTCCAACTAAGCTCTTCATCAAGTTGACTCCTGTGGGCTCCAAGGTCAATCTGTTTTGCATCGGTAGTATTTCATGGAAAAATAAGAGTCCCATCAGAAATGAACCATCAGCTCACATACCCCAGAACACAGAATCCTACAACTGCAAGAATCACCTCAAGATTAAAGCTAATCCTCGTCCTAAAAGGGTCCATGGTCTCCATTCTTCACCTAAACCTCGTGCCCCCAGGAGACACGGAATTACAGTTGCAGAGGCCACAAAGACATTGGTTTATTTAAATGTGTTTGGGGAAGAGGGGGCTGAAGCAGAAGGAATTGTTAAGTCTACTTCACATGTTAAATCAGCTGCTTTAAAAGGGTATTAAATATTTATGTGGTGACACTCCAAAGGTCCAAGACTGAGTGTGTGCTACCTTGAGACTTGGTTTATAGATTGATGCTACTGATTTATTTCCCCCCCCCTAGTTTGTATTTAAATCTTCTGAATTTAATTATAAGGTTTGAAGAATATCTTTTGGGATTGTGCACAGAAAAGGATGGAAAACAATACTGGTGGTGTTACTGTCTCGAAAAAAGCTAAATTCTCAGACTTAGGACCACAACCTGAGGATCATCTTTCTGGCCAGTTGTCTTTTCAAAGGTGTAAAGCAGCTGGTGGCTGACAGGACAGGGAACGCTTTATACATCCCAGGCTTTTTATGAGAGGGAATGCTCTTTTAGAACAGCTTTTTTTTTAAAAAAAAAAAAGGTGAAAAACAAGCCCAGCCTCTCATCTCCCTCATCTCCCGTGATGGTTGATGCTCCTGGGAGTGACAACATGACCTTGTCCCTGCCAGACCAAGCTCTGCACAAGGAGCTGGCCTGCTCCTTCCCCAAAAATCCACATTTCTGACCCACAGGGACGACACTGTTCTTTCTGTGCTAACGCACAGTGGTTATCACTAGTCCAAAACTTGTGGCCCCTTATGGGGGGCTGTCAGCTACCTAACACCCAGCAGGAACACATGCGGCTACCACAGGGCCAGTGCTCTCTGAAGCAAGCTTCTGCTCATGGGAGGGCTAAGAAAAAAATAAAGTACAAGGGAGGAAAGAAGTGACCGCTTTTAGCAAGGCGGTGGCTCTGTCCCCATCCCGACGTGCGTGGGGTGCAAGAGACAGCACTGTGGGCAAGCTGCTGTGGGCCCCCCCCATCGCCTCCCCGCCAGGGGATTTTGGTGGGAGGAGGGCACCCCGCCGTCTGGGCTGGGACGCTGGGGCAGTGCCTCGCTCCAGACCCACGGTGGGAGGCGAGGACAGAAACAATGGTCAGAGGCGTTTGGCAGAGGACCTGAGGGAAAAAAAAAATCCTCTCTTCACAGCAACTGCATGGGCCACTTCACTGGGGCTGCTCCCACATGCCAGCAGCGCCAAAATGGGGAACATGGGAAGACCACACACATTAAGGAGACCGTCACAGGCAAACCCAGAAGCCTCCAGCCCGCGTTACCCATCCCCATCTCCACCAGACACTGTGCAAAGGGATCGAGAGCCCATTCAGGAACACCGGAGGGGTGCGAGCTCCGTGACAGAGCTGCCCCGGGTAGAGCCCTTCTCTGGCCTTGTGCTCGGGGACAGGGAGGCGAGCGGTGAGATGCACTGGGGCTGGGCAGGGGAGAGGGCGAGACGAGGCAGAAGGGAGGACAGAAACAACAAACCCCATGTTCAGTTGGGTCTGCAGGAGAGGAGTACAAAAATAAACCAGGGGTAAAGGCAAAGAATTGGGGTGCAGGAGGGCAAACCCACTGCAGAGTAAGTGAAAACCCCTTGAGCTCACGCACTGCAGCAGCAGGATGTGCCCTGGCCGTCACAGCCAGCTTGGGCAAGAGGTGGGAATCCCGTACTCTGACGTGTGTGGCACCTGTGGGATTTCAAGGAACGAGCATGAATATCCTTCTCCTGGGCACCAATGCAAAGGAGGAAGACAAATGAAGACAGGAGGTCTCCATTTGCTTCTTCCAACTCTGCAAATGGTATTATACAAGTATTTACAGGACAGGCTTTCCAGGCAGAGTGCTTTTTGTATTCCCGCTCCCTAAAAACAAAAATAAACCCAAAACAACCAACAAACAGTAAAAACCACACAGAGCCACAAGGCCATGGTATTTTCTGGATGCAGCCCATGTTATTATCTGTAGAGCAAGGCCAAAATAAAAACTAGGCATTCAGGGGAAGTCAGAACTAAAAAAAGTCTCTCCCTGAACAATGGTGGGTAGACACCTCTCCAGATAAACGGGACAACTCTGCACGTGGACACGTGCCCAGGTAAAGCAGAACTTGTCAAGCAGGTGTCGCGCCACGTGGTGGGACACATGGGTGCAGAAAGAGGAACCCCCCAGCCCCAGCTGGCTTCTCCTCCTCAGGCTGCTTACCCAAACCCTGGCTCAGATCTGCACCGTCTGGGGTCAGTCCTCACCTTGTACCCCCTCAAAAACCATGACATCCCCGCCAGCTCCTGCAGCTAAATGCAAGCAAACACACCCAGGGGTTTCCTGGGGAGGGTTCACTGGGGCACTGGGTGGGAGCTCTCGGTGCAGGCTTGTCACCTCGGAGGTTGTGGGCGCTTCTCCAGGGACCCAGAGACTCACCCGGAGCGGGGGTGGTCTGATGCTCCCAGAGAAGGATCTGGGGGCTTTCTTGTTTGTTTTAAGGAGTCCTAGGGACACAGAAAACTGACAGCCGCGACTCTGGCATCTAAAACAGTGCTTTCTGCAAGAAGGCAGCGGGCATCAGAAGGTTAGAAAAATACCGTGTTTGCAAAGCCTTAATCTGCGCAGGCTCAAAACTGTATTTTATGGGCTACGCTTCAGTTATGCCAACTGACGTATGGAAGAATTTGGACAGCCAGAATACAAGGACATAAAATACAATTTTGAATAAAAGGGAGACGGGAAAGGTTTCAGTAACACCACTACTGAAGTACTCTTCCCTGTTTTCGGGAAGGTGAGGGATGATTGCCGTTTCCGCACCCACACACTGCAAGTCTCAGGCACAACAGGGGGTGGTGAGGACTTGCTGCTGCTTATTGAGATTTATTTAAAGGATTTTGATGAGTAAAGCAAGCCCGAACTATCACATTAGAAAGAGCACAAAGATTTAAACGGCCAAGTTAAAGATCAGCATTGTGGCAGAATTACTGTCTCTGAAAGCGGGCATACACACCTGACACCGTCCTTCTAAAATATTAATAAAGCTGTATCAGCAGCATGGGGGGCACTGGGACTGCTCTGCATCCCTGCCAGGAAGGGATGGGCTCACCTTGTTTGGAGCTGACGTCGGAGGGGATGTGAGACGGGTGCGACCCCGGGGAAAAGTGCTCATCGCTGTAGGTGATAAGAGGGGTGAGGGGGTGAACCGCATGAGAAGGCTGTACCACTGGCACCTTGTTTGACTGTAAGAGAAGAAAAAAATGAAATTAAATAGCATTAGCGAGTTGAGGTTTCTACATTAAAAAAAAAAAAAAAAGGCACTTCCAAAATGCAATTTTTATGTATTTGTGTTACTGAAGGGAAGGGGGACGACATCGGGGCTGGCGGATGGCAGCCACGTTTGCTGCCAGAATCAGCATCCTGAAACCACCGGCGCCTGAGGAGGGATGCGGACATTGAGGAAATGCAGGGAAAAGGGTGGCGCCGGGAGGAGAAGGAAAGACGTTTGGGAGACAGGGAGATGGGGCTGGGGAAGGTGTGGCGGGAGAGCAACCGGGCAGGAGGAGCACCATGCTGGGTGGGCAGGCACCGCACACCAAGGGCTGCGACTGAAGGATGGCAGAGCCAGCAGCGGTGCTAAAAAACCCATTCAGTTACAGAAACAGCATTAAAAAAAAAAAAACAAAAAGGTTTAAAGTGCAGGTTTGCCACATCTCCAGCCTTAAGAGCAACACAGGCATCATCGACTTCACTCCTCCTCTCCATCGCTCTCCTGCGCAAAGGCAGCAGAGGGTACGGTGGGTTTCTCCCCTGGCAACTTTACGAACTCCACTTGAAATCTCCTGGTCTGGGTAGCACGTAGCTGAAAAGCCACCCTTAAAAGCCTGATTTCATATATAAGCGGTTGGCAGTGGCCTGTTGGAGGGGTGAGTCAGGGAGGAGACCCGCTGCCCGCCCCAGGGACAGCCGGGAGGCCTCTCACTGCCTCACACCAAGGAGAAATCCCAAGTGCTACGAATGCCCGAGAGGGTCCCAAAATGGGTGCCATAAAGCAACATCCACGCAGGCCAAGGCGCGCACTTCCCATCATCCCTTCCCACAGAGGTGCAGGGCAAGGGGCACTCGGCGTGACCAGAGGGTCACTGCCCAAAATCACGCCCTTGGATCAAGGCCGCAAGACAGCAGGACTCATCCATCGTGACAAAGTGCTGCTGTGTTAATGCTGCTGGAAACACAAGTTGCTCTTCCCACGGCGAGGTGAGAC